AACTCTATGCACAACAAAGCAAAATACTACCCAATCCTGCAACAGCCTTACAATCGATGCTAACTTTGAGATCATTGATACTGTCATTGTGCCAAGCCATCATTGGGAGTCTTCCTCTTTTTCTCCAACCTTCCACTTAATCAAATATGATCTCCTTCTCCAGGGACTGGCCCCTCCTGATAATATATCTGAAGCATGAGAGATGAAGTCTGGCCATCCTAGCTTCCAAGGAACATTCTAGCTGTACTTCTCCCAACATAAATTGGTTTGTTCTTTTGGGAGTCCATGTACTTTTAGTATTCCTCCAACACCATAACTCAGATGCATCAATTCTTCTATGGTCCTCTTTATTCCCTGTCCAACTTTCACATGCATATGACTTTATTGAAAATACTATGGCTTGGATAAGGCACATCTTAGTGCTCAAACTGACATCTTAGCTTTTCAACACATGAAAGAGGTATTGTGCAGCAGATTTACCTAATGCAATATATCGTCTAATGTCTTGATTGCTGCTTCATTAGGTATTGATGTTTGATCTGAGCAAAATGAAGTCTTTGACACCTTCAGTCTTTTCTCCATTTAAATGGATGCTGTTTATTAGTCCAGTGGTGAGGATCTTTGTCTTATTCAAATTGAGGTGCAACCCATACCAAAAGATGTGGTCTTTGATTTTCATCAGTAAATATTTTAAGTCCTCTTTGCTTTCAGCAAGCAAGATTACATCTTATGCATATCGCAGGTTAATGAGTTAATGAGTCTTGCTCCAATTCTGATGCCACTTCATACAATCCAGCTGCTCAGATTATTTGCTCTGCATACAGATTGAATATATATGGTGAAAGAATACAGCCCTGCCACACACCTTTCCTAATTTTAAACCATTCAGTTGTCCCTTGTTCTGTAAGATCAACTGCCTCTTGGTCTATGTGCATGTTCCTCATGAGTATAATTAAGTGTTCTTGAAGACTCATTATTCACAATGTTGTCCATAACTTGTCATGATGGACATAATCGAAAGTCTTTGCTTACTCAATAAAGCACAAGTAAACATCTTTTTGGTATTCTCTGCTTTCACCCAAGATCCATCTGACATTAGCAATGATATCTCTGATTCTATGTCCTCTTCTGCTTCTGTAATGATATCTCTGGTTCCATGTCCTCTTCTGCATCTGGCTCAAAACTCTGGAAATTCTCTGTCAGTGTACGGTTGGAACCATTTTTTAATACTCTTCAGCAAAAATTTATTTGCATGTGATATTGTCTGATGATTTCTGTATTCCATTGGCTCACCCTTCTCTGGAATGGCCACAAATATGGATCTATTCCTGTCAGTTGGCCAGGAAGTTGGCTTCCACAATTCTTGGTATAGATGGGTGAGTGCCTCCAGGATTGCATCACTTTGTTGAAAGATTTCAATTTGTAGTCCATCAATTCCCAGTGCCTTATCCTTTGCCAAAGCTTTCAATCCACCTTGGACTTCTTTCAGGATCATTGACTCCTGATCATATGCTACTTCTTGAAATCATTAACATTGATCATTTCTTTTTGATACAGTGACTCTATGTATTCCTTTCATCTTCTTTTGATGCTTTCTACATCATTCAATGTTTTTCCCATAGAATCTGTCAATATTGTAAGTTGAGGCATGAATTTTTTCTTCAGTTCCCTCAGCTTGAAAAAGATTGAGCACCTTCCTCCCTGTTGGTTTTCTAACTCCAGGTCTTTGCACATTTCATTCTAATATTTGACTTTGTCTCCTCTAGCTGACCTTTCAAATGTTCTATTTAGTTGTTTTACCTCCTCGTTTCTTCTACTTGCTTTAGCATCTCTACACTGAAGAGCAAATTTCAGAGTGTCTTATGATATTCATTTTGATCTTTTCCTTCTTTCTTGTCTTCTTAATGACTTTTGCTTTTTTTCTGTATGATGTTCTGGATGTCATCCCACAATTTTTTGGGTCTTTGATCTTTAGTGTCCAATGCATCAAATCTGTTCTTCGGGTGGGATATGTTCAAGATTATATATTGGCTCTTACGGATTTGTTTTAATTTTCTTCAGTTTCAGCCTGAGTTTGCAAATGAGTAATTGATTGTCAGTTCCACAGTCTGCCCCTGGCCTTGTTTTGGCTGGTGACATGAATCTTTTCTATCATCACTTTCCACAGATGTAGCCAATGTGATTTCTGTATATTCCATCTGGTGAGATCTGTGTGCATAGTCACCTTTTATGCTCTTTTGAAAAGGTATTTGCAATGAAGAAGTCTTTGGTCTTGAAAAATTCTATCATGTGATCTCCAGCATTGTGTCTATTACCAAAACCATATTTTCCAAAGACTGATCATTCCTGTTTGTTTCCAACTGTTACATTCCAATTGCCAACAATTATCAATACATATTGATTGCATCTTTAATCAATTTCAAACTGAAGAATTTGGTAGAATTCTTCACTTTCATCATCACTGGCTTTAGTGGTTAGTGAGGAAATTTGACTAATCATGGTATTAACTGGTCTTCCTTGTAGGCATGTGGATATTATCCTACCACAGACAATGTTGTTCTTCAAGACAGATCTTGATATATTCTTTTTGAGAATGAATACAACACCATTTCTCTTCAATTTGTTATTCCCAACATAGTAATCCATGTGATTGTTGGATATAAAATGACCAATACTAGTCTATTTCAGCTCACTAATGCCTAAGATATCTATGTTTATGCATTCCATTTCATTTTTGACAAGTCCAATTTTCCCAGATTCATACTTCAAACATTCTATGTTCCAATTACTAATGGATATTTACTGCTGTTTCTATTCCATGTGAGTGGTGTTCCATTAGCAAATGAAGGTTCCAAAGGCTTCACTCCATTAATGTCATCACAATCAACTCGACTTTGAGGAGGCAGCTCTTTCCCAGTCATATTTGGAGTGCTTTCCAACCTAAGGGGCTCATCTTATGGCACTATTATCTGACACTATTCCAAGCCACTCCTTGCCCTATACAAGGTTGCTATGGGACAGAACCAACTTGACAGCACTTAACAACAACAACAATTTACTGTAAAAGTTCTTTCAAACTTGTTAGACATAGACTTTTATCATATTTGTACAGAACAAAAAGAAAAATAGAGTTGAAATAAATTGCTTAACTTGTCACATGATTTTCTCATCCAGACTCTGGTTCTTCTAAGTCATTATTTTGCATATTTACTTTTGGGTTTTAGTTGTTTTGTTTTGATTCAGTGATGTTTGAGTCAGTGATATTGATGCTTTTTCATATAATACGGAAAAATGTTTCACTATTATGTTTGGAATTTTCTTCCAAGTTGTTGCTATCCAATCCACAAATTTTGAGACTAGTTTCTGAAGTTCAGGTGGTTCAAGAAGACAAGAAAAATATTATACATATGACTAATTTATAACTTTTTATCAAGAAATGAATATTATACATATGACTAATTTATAATGTTTCACATGAAATGAATGTGTATGTTTGTCTATTGTTACTCATTGAGCGTACTTTTTTCATGTCTATCATTTTCGTATTCCCACCATTCTTCATTCAAAAAATAATAGTAAAATCTATTTCTTAAGAAAAAGCTAAAAATACATAAACTGATAATTCAGCTTAAGAAACTAGAAAAATATGAGTCAATTCATAAAAATGAAAATAAAGCAAGTTTTAAAATATAGGTAAGTGTATTAAAATATACTGTGTATCCTTTCATCTACTCTCTAAAAAACCTAAGTCAAGAAGTTTTACAGATGAGTTTAACCAAAAATTAATGAAATTAATAATGCCTGTGATATATAATTGATTCCACAAATTAGAAAAAGAAAAGTTTCATCTCAAAATTTATTTACTGGCCTAAAACAAGGTTGACTGCAAACTAATACAAGGAAAGAATAATAAAGAAAAATCACAGGCCAATCTCAACTGTAAAACAGAGAAGCAAGAACCCTAAAAAGTTTTAGCAAAAATAGTTCAAAGGTTTTTTTCAAACGTTGTCACAATTGTTGTTGTTAAGTGCCACTGAGTTGGTTCTAACTCTGCAACCTTATAGGGTTTCCAAGAGCAGGTGGTGGGGTTTATCCCTCTGGAATGCAAGGATAATTAAACATTAGAAATTCAATATATTTTACCCCAACATTAATAGATTAAGTGAGGGAGAGAGTAAAAACAAAGCATTTGATCAACATCATCTCTCCAGATAAGAAAAGACAATATCTTTCATTATTAAGGGGAAAAGTCAGCAAATTATAGAGGAAAGCCAGAAAGAATGACAAAAATGTACCAAATTTTGTACAAAAAAATGCTCATAGGAGTCAAGCATTAAAGGCATGACAATTAATATTCCAAACAAACAATGATGTATATTATGAACACGTATTTATTTTGTACTAGAGATCCTGGACAATGACATAATATTTTTTTTTTTAAAAAAAGAAACCACTAAGATGCAGTTTCATAACATGACATGGGATGGAAACTCATTACATACTGGTCAGGCCCTCCAAAGTCTGACTTCTATCTACAATTCTAGTCTTGCATCCTGCCACTTCCTTGACATTCTCAGCTTATGGATTACAATGTAAAACTAGATGTACACACCAAACTGTTTCTCATCTCTCTGCCTAACTCAAGGTGTCAAATTTGTCTGAAATATGAAAATACTTCCAATTCCTCTCAGAAGTCCACTCCCACTTTCACCAAACTTCCTTCAGTTTAGTTTATAGTCATTACAATTAATGTGCTGTATAATCAAAAACCTCAGCATGTCTCTCACTTCCAGATTCTGAGCTCCAAATATAAAGCTCTTCTCACTCATAGGACTCAGTCTTACTAATTTGCATAAGCCTCACACCTAACACTATACCTAAGAAGCTCTGTTCTACATCTCTGAATCCCTCAGTGTATCATAGTGCCCCTGTTACAGCCAAGAGACACCGCAAGTCAATACTAATAGTTGTAGTTGTTTCCCTTGAAAAACATTACTTACTTTCTTCTTTCGTTGTAGATGTTTTTCCATGTCTGCGTACCTTCTGGAATACAAAAGATAGCTTGAAATTTTTTTAACTCAGTCAAAATACATTCTTATAAAAATTTAGTCTGCATCTTTTACTTTTCAGAAAGAACACTTCCCAAGAGAAAGTAAGCTTACTGTCCACAGAGAAGGGTTCCAATTCATGTTAATATTTTCCAGCCTTAGTGCTAGGCAGTACCCTAAGTCTATTAATTTCCTTTCTTGAGATTGTAGAAAATCAGACAGGTTCTTATTTATTAGAATGGCAGTCTTCTCAACGTGTCACATTTACATATTTTTATCCTAAGGTTTTTATATAATAAGGGAGGGGGAAAATCTAAATTGTTGAAACCTTTTGATAGAAATCATTTTCACAAGCGTAGTTCCTTCACATGACTCTAGCAATAAGCAGGTGAAAGAAAAAAAAACATTCTCACTATGTTTATAAAGAAACCAAGGCTCAGAGAGATGAGGTTTATACACATTGTCCCACAGCTGACTGGTGGAAGAAGTGATTTTAAAATCCAATTCAAAACCAAAATGCATTCTCTCATTTGCCATCTATACTTTCTGTTCCTTGCAACAAAGCACCCCATTTCTAATTCTTCTTTATCTAGACATGCTCTAAAAATTGCTTTGCAAATTTGAAAGTTTTTCTATAACAGGATTCTCCAACAAAAATATACCTTGTTGGTGGTATTCATTGGTGCTAAATGGGCACTGGTTGCTTAGTGACTATAACTGATCTCATGTTCATCCTAAACTAAGCCTCTTTGGCAAAGGAAGACAATATTGACTAACTGATGGATTCATGTCAACATTCAATAGATGAATGGATGATAGGAAAATATCAAACACATTGAAAGGAAGGGGAACACATTGCAGGAAAAGGAGGGGGAAATAAGTAGAGAGAACTAGTCAATTGAACAGCCTCAAACTGTATATACAGTTCAAAATACTAACAGAACTATTAGCAATTATAGTCCTGCCAGACAAGCAGACAGGCAGCACTCTAACCATCTGCTTAGATATCAAAGTGATATAGGATTTATACATCCACAGACAGATCAAAGGAAGCCTTAGAAAAGAACATCTAAAAGTATATAAGTCAGAATCGGAATGAGGTTAGCCATAGACACTGTGCCCACAGGGGTGTTTCAAGTTCTCTAACTACAGAAAGTGGTCTGTATGTGCAGTAAAACACAGGGAGGCAGACCACCCTGCCTGGCATTTGCTGAAAATTAAAACCATCTGCACTATTCCAGAATGAAATGAAAAATGGCACCTCTTTTTCTTCCCTCAAGATAATGACCATTAAAAGCCTTGACAGAGAAATAGCTACAGGGAAAGTTTCTAGTAAGCCCTCAAATAGCTTCTTACACTACATGGATTTAAAACACACCAATCAGGGATAAGAGCAATCAAGGGTGCACAATCCCACAGACCAACTGTAGAAGCTGCTTCTCTCAGCAAGGCCTAGAAGACAAGAAAACCTATGTATGAGCTGGTGGTCAGTGCCTAGTTTAAAAACTGTCTGACAGAGACTAATAAAAGGAACATTTCAACTATACCTAGAGACCTGAAAGATGCAGAGCCTGCTGGCAGTTATTGGTGAGTGTTGGCCTGGAGTGATTGTTAAGAAGAGAAACACTGCTTTTCAAAGTAGGCTCGGAAGAGTATGTCAAGATCTCGTCAATGTGGCCATTTGTTGTTGTTAAGTGTGATGGAGTTGGTTCTGACCCATAGCGACACTGAATTGGGTTTCCAAGGAGCAGCTGGTGAGCTTGAGCTACTGATCTTGCAGTTCAAAACCCACAGTGGCACACCAGGAGACAGTAAACATCGTGGCAGAAATGTGAGGAAAGGATCATTCTTATTCAGAAACAATTATTTTGAAAAACCCATTTCTTTCTTCTCTCTTCCTAATAAGTGGTCAGGAACTATAAATAGTGAACATAGAAACATTCCAAATAATAGGATTCCTTTTATGCTTGTTCCAATGAATGAAAGAAAACATCTTGCCTCTCACATAAAGAAGTCATATCTCCAGATATGATCAGAGTAATCTATCAAAATATCATATAAACTCAATGCTGATCCTCACCAAATACAAAGTGTGAACCTTGTTTAAATCCTGATTCAAACAAGCTTACTGTATTTGGAGATAACAGAGGCAATTTTAATAATGTCTAGGTATTAGATAATTTTATAGAATTCCTGTTAATATTAGATTTGATCAAAATATTGTCCAAAAACAAAATAAAATACAATCCTTCTCTATTAGAGATACATACTGAAATATTTACTGCTAAAATACAATATTTGAGGTTTGCTTTAAAATATGATTTCCCCACACACCCAAATCAAAGGTTGACAAGGGAGCTTCAAAAAGTTTTTGAAAAAATCCATTATCTTTTAATTCCATATTTCTATGAATTTTTTAAAACTCCCTCATATATAAAACAAGATTAGTAAACTGGAATCATTTTAGAGCTAATCCCTTTATTCCTGTACAGGTTTGAATATTTCCCTAATAAAAGTGTTTCCAAAAAAGAAAGAACAATATGACTTGAAACTCCAAAGCTTCTCAGAAGCTCCTTCCCACTAAGTCATTCTCTACGCTTTAAGAACTTCCCAAAGAAGAAAAACAGTATTGAAAAGAAATTCACACACTGTGTTTGGTAAGCGTGGGCATCCTTGTCCTATTCCTTATCTTAGGGGAAGTTCTCCATCTTTCTCCATTGTGTATGATGCTAACAGTGGGTTTTTCACAAAGACCCTATATCCGATAGAGGAATTTCCCTTCTATTCCCAACTTAATGAATGCTTATATTACAATAAGTTGGAAAAACAATTATTATCATTTAAAATTTGAAATTAGAGATTGAGAAATTTTTGGTGGGAGCATTTGGTGAGACACTAGATAGAAAGTAAGAATAATTTTAAAACAGCATGGTCATGGTCTGACCATCTTTGGGTTTCCTAGTACCAAACTACACAGCATTTGGTAATACTCCACACATTGAGATATATCATTGCAAACTAAACATTTGGACTGTTGATCTCTAAGACTCCAGTATCTCCAGAGAAAAGTTAATGTATGCAACACAGGATCTTGCTATCTTTGTGAACATATCAAAAAATAATAGCTACTCCACGCCTAATTTTAAAAATCCAAAATTGTACAATATATAAAAATAATAATGTCAAATCTTAGTTCAAAAATATTAACTGAACTGATCAGAGTTCATTGGGAGAGAAAAAAAAAAACGACTAATTTTACAAACATACAGGAAGGAAAAGTATAAAATATGCTTACTTTTGGACCTCACTGGGAACCTTTGAGGACTTCCAATAAGGAAAATGTTTAAAGGTCTCCAGTCCTGCTGCAACATAAAAATGATTGTCTTGCAAATCCTTTGAGTTGTCTAAAAGATGCCCATTCATTGTAAATAATCTGTAAATAGAGAATGAAAACAAAAATAGACTAGAACTTTTACAACAAGTAAGATAGTATTTTGGTTATTTTTCACTTATAACTATCAGAAGTCCAAGTGACATAATAGTTAAATGCCTGGCTGCTAAATGAAAGGTTAGTGGTTCGAGTTCTGCAGGAGAAAGAAATAGCAATCTGCTTCTGTAAAGATTAAACCAAAAGAAAAGTAATATAGTAAACCCACTACCATCAAGTTGATTTCAATTAATAGCATCCCTATATTGTTTTTGTTTTTAAGTGCCATTGAATTGGTTCTGATTCATAGAGCTTCCAAGGAGTGGCTCTTGGGTTTGAACCATCAACCTTGCAGATCAAACTAACCTTGCTTATCAGTGCATTATCCCACAGTACCAAACCAGGACATAGAAAAATTGTCCCTATGAGATTTCCAAGACTAATCTTTATGAAAGGAGCACTGGTAGCCCAGTAGTTAAAACATTCAGCTGATAACCAAAAAGTCAGCAATAAGGTTGGCAGTACAACCCCACCAGGTACTTGATGGGAGAAAGATGTGGCTGTATGCTTTCATAAAGATTTTAGCCTTGGAAACCTTATGGAGCAGTTCCATTCTGTCCTATAAGCTGACTATGAGTTGGAATTGGCTTGACAGCAACCATTTTGAACATAACTATCATTTGGACTCCTGTAAAAATTATAGACTCATAATTAAGTATAATCTAATTGGGTTAGTTAAAAACCTATGAGAGCTGCTTTTTCAGGATTAGGCTTTCCATTTTTAGATTTTTTAAATTAAAGTGTATTTTTAATTATGTACAAGTCTCAGAGGCACTGGAGAGCATTTTAAACTCTTGGTTGGTATTCAATTAATTTTAACTAATAACAGCTAAAATTAATACAAATTGGCTTATACTGTAATAACAGTACTTGAAAAAACAAACCAGAATTTATTAGCAAATAATGTGCCTTTTACAAGCACCAAAAGACTAATATTAGTCTTATTTTTATTCAGCATTCTTCATTGGCAAGTATTCATTCACTAGTTTATTTATTCAAGAAATGATTCAATTCATTCACTACTGAACACCTATTGGTGGTGGTGGTTATGTGCTGTGGAGTTAGTTCCAACTCATAGCGACCCTGTGTAGGGCTTCCAAAGCTGTAAATCTTCAGGGGAGCAGAAAGTCTCATCTTTCTCCCGCGGAACCACTGGTAGTTTCGAACTACTGACCATGAGGTTAGCAACCTGATTCATAGCCATTAGTATGCATAAAATAGTGGGGTAGATATTTAATTGGATAAAAATATAAATAAGATAATTACTGCTTTCCCAAAGCCAAAAATATACAAAAATCTATAAAGATAGGTATGATAAGAAAAGGACAAAGTGTTGGAAGATCCCAAGAAGAAAAAAGATTAAATTCAGTTGTAGTCTTCCCAAAGGTGAAAGAATTTACAATGGAATATGAATGGGAGGAGGCAGAATTCAATCTTATGAAGATGAAAGAATTGCTACTTTGTGTAGCAGGAGGGACACTGGTCTACAGGCAGAACACACAGTTTCACTGTCACATAAGGATGAAATGGAGATCTAGAACTTGAATGTATAGGTGGTGTGGAGTTTTATAAAGATTCATGAATTCCAAGGTAAAAAAAATTATAGTTAATTTACTCAGAATAATTGAAAATTTTCTTAGAATGATAGAATAAGAGACATACTTTACCTACTGTGACCAACTTTTGTGTATGGGATGTAATAGAGACAAAAGAGGAGATTTGGAAAACTATTGCAAGACTATACAGAGAGAAGTAATGAAATAAAGCAACAACTAAACGAGGGAAAGATGAGAAAGAATGTGAGAGACATTAAAAAGGTAGACTCTACACATAGTATCTATTGTGAGAGACATTAAAAAGGTAGACTCTACAGATAGTATCTATTCCCATAGATCAAGCATTCTACAACTTAGGCATGTATCAGAATCATCTGGAAGCCTTCAAAAAACACTGATTGCTATGGCTACCTTCAGAGCCTCTGATTCTGTAAATTGTGGATGAAACTCAAAGGCTTCCATGAGAAAAGTAGCACAGTTCACTTCTCCTCCCAATTGCTTTGGGACAAACAGAGCCTGCACTTGAGGTTGGACACAAATAGCAAGTGCAAATGTCCCCAGGAGTAAATCAGAAAATTGCAAAAGCATTGACACACCACTCATCAGGTGAGGAACTGAGGGAAATAATGAGACTGATTAGATGCATTCTTAAGGAAAGTGTCTCCACAAAGAGTTAATGCTGTTGGGGATTGATGGTGAAGCTCTGAAGGTAGGAGTCGTTTGGAAGATTCCACCAAAAATACAAATATTGGAACAGATGGAACAAAAAATTAATAAAAACATAAAAATGTTATGAAATAAATAAGGGGAGATATTATTAACATGAAAAAAAAAAAAGAAGAACAAGAAATCATAACATGAATCAAGTGAAAATAGTGATTCAAATCTAGAATAGTTGAACCAAAGAGTAAAGTGAGATGGATAGCAAATTGAGGACAGATCCAGTGTTTGGAAGATAAAATTAAGAAACTTTCACTGAAGGAAACAGGGAAGGAAAAAGAAATAGAACATATAAAAGAAAAGTTCAGAAATAAGGATGTGTAGAAGTACCAACCACCATCCATCTGTAAGTTTGTCATAGTGTAATGGCTTGTGTGTGGCTATGATGCTGGAAGCTTTGACATAGGTATTTTTAAAAAATTACAGCAGACACATGTCGTGGACAGTTTTCAGCAACACTTCCAGATTAAGACAGACAAGGAAGAAGGAGACACCAATTTCTGAATGGTTAGCCACTGAAAACCTTTTGAATAACAGTGGAGCATTGTCTGATAGTGTCAGGAAAGGAGCATTTCAAGTGGGAAGGCATTCAAAATACAATTAAGGAAGAGCTGCCACCTTAAAACAGAGTTGACCCTAATGATGTAGATGGAGCAAAGCTTTCAGGACCTTCATTTGCTAATGGGACACAATACAAAAT